CTGCTCTGGCTTCAGCTGGATTCGGTAGTAGTTCTTGTAGATTGTTTCCTAAGGAGAGAAGCAAAGGACCACTTTAGCATGCTGCCACCTCCCCTGGCCAAGAGTGATGCCCAGCCGGAGGGCCTTTTCACCTTGTTCAGAAATTCCTTCTATATTCCCTGAGGCCTTTTCTTGCCTCAACCAAAGGAAGGATTATTCCCCATTTCCACCACACCCAACTCACCGTAAGGGTCTTTCTCTTGCCATAGGATGACCAGGGTTGGGGCTCTAGGACCAGGATGCCCCCAGGGCGTAAGTGCCGGTAGATCCTGCGAAACATGCGCTTCAGGCCCTCATCTCCCCAGTTCAGATGCACCCACTTGGTGAGGCTAAGGCAGAGCACCACATCATACTCAGGTGTTTGGGCCTCCACCAGGTCATCTCGATCCAGCACATAATTACCCTGGGGGCAAGAATCAGCAGTGAGGTCAACAGAGGGAATCAAAAAACCCCTGCTTCCAGGCAACCTGCCCTAAGGCCGACCCACAGTCCTGCGGCCTCACTTTAGCCCTTGGTCATATTCTTCTCAGACTAACTCCCAAAAGGGGCCCTCTTTGAGTTTTGTTTTCTCCTCTACACCTTCCTGGCCTCTGCTTCTTCCTACTGGTGGTAAGCCAAAAAACGTCTAGAGGGAGCCTGGGTAATTTTAAATGGTGCAAATTATCCATGAGGACTTCCAAAGCTGGGGTCCCAGGACCCTATCCTGTGCTTATTCTCACCCACAGACATTAAGTGGAATGACTGCAATTAGTTGCAAGGGTAACTAACCCAGGTTTCAAACCACAGGCAGACCTGTGGTTCCTTCTCTACAGTTGGGGTTGGCAAAGTTTCAGGCCTATTCTTTCCTTCCTCTGAGAGATATGATGAGCCACATCCTTCAGGAAACCTTTTCTAGAAGATAAGCTCATCATAGCCCTCTAGAAAGACCATTCTTCAGGCTTAACCCAACACCATGCCAAATATCCCAGCAGATGGCCTAACTGGGATGTTTTCTGGGAGCTGTGTGCGGTCAGGGGACACTGTGGTGGGCATGGGACTCTCTCCTCTTTGTGAAGAGTTTCTGGCTCTTCCCTCTCCTACTATCTAGAGTCAGTGTGGAGAGAATCTATAGCCAAGCCACTTGGGTTCCTGACACTCTTCAACAAACTGTCTAGGAAAACAAAAGCAGCTGATGGGAACAAGGTCTCTATCAATGGGCAGAAATGCCAATATTAGTCTGCCACTACCCTAATCTCCCCAGAAGACATTCCATGCCTGACTCCCATTCTCAGGCTCTTTCAGTAAGTCTGAGGACCAAGTTCCAGCTGGATTGAATCCCCTAGTGAGCAACAGCAGCAGCCCTCAAGGGAAGGTGGACCAGTGTGGATTACAGGCCAAGCCAGGAGCTGGGCAAAAAAAAAAAAAAAAAAAAAAAAAAAAGTCCTTTATTTTGGAGATCCTTGCAGTCATGACAAAGGACTCCAGGGTCAAGGCCCCATGGTAGAGAGATCACCCTTCCGGGTTATAAAAGGGAAGAGATGCCCAGCAGAGACTCTCACTTGCCAACCCAGACCCCCCTTTTAAAGAATCTGGGTCATAACCTTCCCTGCTATATTCCCATTTTATCTCTTCACACTTGGCCCCTATTCCAAGAGCCTCTGGACCCTCTTACCGTGACGAAGACAACATTGTTGGGGAAGACTGATGTGTCCGCTCCATCCAAGGGCACTTGGGGGGCAGCGATGGGGCCCCGGCTGGCAGTCAGCGAGGCTGGGAAGCAGCTCCTCTTTCGGACAGTGGTGGTCCCTTCCTCACCCTCTGCCCCTGGGTCCCCTTCCAAAGTCTGGCGTGGGAGACGCAGCTCCTCAGACAGGTAGTGTCGGATGTTTTGGCGGGCAGAATGGATGAGGCGGGAATCTATATCTAGGCCCACCATACGGGACGGGCCCCACTTGCAGGCAATGCTCAGGGTCAGATGGCCCACATTGCAGCCGAGATCTAGGACGTCCCGGCCCCGAAACCACTCAGGCTTCAACACCCGAAGGCGCCCATCCTCACAGGAAGGATTGCGATACCCATAGTACTTGCAGTAATTCCCATACTGGAACTTGCGCTGTTGCTTTTTGAAGCCTGCTGCAGGCAGTGGGTGCTGGTGGTGGCGGCCTCCCCAACTCCCTCGGCCCTTTTCCTTGGAACCCTGGCCTCCACCCCTAGCCCCTGCCTCCGACTTGCTGGAAGTCCTGCGACGTTTGCGATGTCGGGAGGAGGAAGACGGGGGTGCAGAGGTAACTGAGGCAGCTGGAGGGGCTGATAGGGAGCCTGAGGGACCCTGCAGAGCAGATGGAAGGGGAGACACCACTTCATCCCTGCAGTTGATGGCTGTGTTGAGTTCATAGGGTTGGGGGGCATCCCGGTTCTGGCCCCTGTGCCGCGGGTGCTGTGTGGTGCCCTCCCCGTGGAGTGAGGGGGTGAGAGGGGCTGTGGGCAGCACAGGGTGGGTCTCACTCCCTCCGGCTGCCTGCTGCTGCTGGTGGTGCTGTCCCCGGTGTCTATGCCGCTTCCGACCAGTCTTGAGTGGCGAAGCAAGAACTACATGGCCCTCATCAGTGCAAGTATTGAGGCTGAGCGGGTCAGTAATATCTTTGGGGATGAGGATCTCCACTGGATCTCGCCCTTTGGCCGGAAGGGGGGATGACTTAGGGGTCTCCGCGTTGAGGGCGCGGCTCACTTCCTCATCCAGGAGACTATTCAGGTTCAGGGGATCAAAGATATTGCCCCCCAGGAGAAAGTTGGAGGGTAACACAGAGTCACAATCCGAATTCACTCGCCTGCGCCTCTTGAAGGCCGGATGTTTGAAACCTCCTCCGCCTCCCCCTACATTACAGCTATTTCTCCTCTTGCCCCCGCCTCCCCCAGGTGGCCGGTGGGGCTGATAGCCATTGCGGGGTCGAGGAGGAGCAGGGGGGCCCAGCTCTGTCCCGCCCCCTCCCCGGCGCTCCTCCCCCACGTCCGGAGGAGCAGCTAGCCCCGGGGGATCCGACAGGCTGGCCTCTCCGTGCGACTGCGCCTGGGGGCCACCCCGGGGATTGGCCGCAGCCCCCGGGCTCTCCCTGCGGACCCCAGAGCCCGGGGACCCCGCAGATGGCGCGCGAGGACCCGGCCCACGCTCCGTCCCGCAGCGGAGCTCCCCGGAGGCGGCCTCTTCGTGCGGTGGCACCGTGGGGCCGCCCCCTCCGCCCGACTCATCTTTGAGCGGCGGCGGCGGGGCCGGCACCAGAAACGGCTCCTTCTCCGCGGCCATCTCGATCATTTCCTCCCCTTATTCCGTCCCAGTCGGGGCAACAAGGGGGATCAGGGGGCTTAACACCCCCCGCCTGGACCCCGCTCCCTTCCCCCTTTCCCGAGTGCGCGCGCAGCTCTGCTCTTCTCGCCTAGTCTCGCGCCCAAGCGCCTCCCCACGAAGCGCGCCCCACTCGCCCGCGAGACCAAAACAAGATGCCCGCGAGACCCGAACAACTCGAGGACTCAACCGCGCGTGCGCCGACCCCTTTTTCCTCCGCCACTACCACCCGGCCGCGAGCGCTAGCGCGCGTTCCCCTGGCCCCGGAATCACGCATGCGCACTCTGCCACCACCCTGGTTGCGCGCGCATCGGAGTACGAACCAACTTAACGGCTCTGGGAGTTTAAATATAACCACCCCCACAGCCCCCGCAAAAGCCCACCACCCCAAACTGAGACCCTACTTCCCTGCGCAGCTATGTCCGGCCCTACTGATCTCCTTTGTCTCTGCCGTGCGATCCCACCCACCGTAGGCGGGGGACAGGAGCTGGTGTGAAAAGGTCTCCTTGACACCCGACCCTTGTTCCTGAGGAATGAGTCTCAGCGGTCTCCGCCCGGCTCTAAACCCAACAACCTCCCCACCCCGCCTCCTTCCTCCCCCTAGTGGGCAGCGCCTGCGCACACCCTTTCGGGCTTGCGCGGGTAGAGCTAGCACGTGCTGGAGGTGGCGCCCCGCCCCTCCCCCGTCTTAGGGGTGGGGCCTGTGACGTCGCTTCCTCAAGTTTAGTAAACGCAGCGTGCGTCAGCGCGGTCCGGAGGGGCGGTGCTCATGAATTATTTATGACTCTTGGTAGCACACCTCCCCCCTCCTTAAAAGAGCTTGCGAGGGAGCGGTGCGGAGTCCCTAAAAAGCCGAAGAAGGGCGGGAGTGGAACTGGGCTCAGTAAAACGCGATAGATCATTATAACTCACCCCCCTCGAAAATATTCTCTGCTGAATTGGGGAAAAAGCAAAAGCAAAAGCACTAAAACAGCCGATGTGGTCCAACTTCCTCTTCCCCGAAATGGCTGAGTCGTTCTCTGGCTCCTCCGCCTTTCCCCAATGGCAATCACCTGGGGAACGCCACACCACGCCTTCCTCTCCGCCTCCACGCCCACCCCCAATGCACGCACCCGTGCCCACCACCCCGCGGGCCTCCACGAACGCCCGCCGCCGGCGCCGCACCGCCTTATATAGCAGCGGGTGTGGGTGGGGACGGGGGTTCGGTCTGCGCTGGGCACCCTCAGCTTCCTCCAATGAGGAAGAAGCGAGTCCACGCCGTTTTCCTGGGGAGATGCGCGGACAGGTCTCTCAGCCGGCGTAGTGCTGGGCTGAGGAGAGGGCGGCCGGGGTGACAGTGGGGTCCAAGAGAGTCTCTAATAAAATCCTAAAGGGAGGGCGTGAAGGAGACCAGCAGGAAGAGGAGGAATCAGGGAGCGGAAAGAGGGAGGAAAAGGCCGTCTGAAACTGAAAAGTTAAGAAGATGTGCTTCAGAAACAATCAGGCGCTGCGGCCACTGCCTAAAAAAAAAAAAAAAGTGACACCAAAGAGGATTCTGGGATTTGTAGTTTTCCCGAGACGTTCGGGTGGAAGATGGCGGAATTACCTCAGCTGCGGAGGCGGAGTCGCAGACGCAGCTTGCAGCTGCGCATGCGCCTCGGCCCCGCGAGCACGCCGCCGGCGGGGCGGGTGGGGCGGCGTGCTCGTGCGCAGGCGTCCTCGTGCTTTTTCTTGGTGGCGGGAAACCTCGGTCGAGGTGTGAGGGGTTTGCGGAGTCGCTGCGGCAGCTGGTTCTGCCTCTCGCCTTTAGGTTCTCCTTGCTCCTGAAGGTAGCCGTCTCCTTTCTGGTTGCAGGTGAAGGTGCTAGGCGCGGCCAGTCCTGGCACCGGTTGCCTGAGGAGAAACTTTCTCAGGGCGACAACCACCCCTTGGCCTTTTTCCCTCAGAGTCTGTCGCCCCAAGACACAGGCAAAAATAGCCTAGTCTCCTGGCGGGCACCGACAAGCTGAATGAGAATGAGGATCCCGGTGCCTCGGCGGGAGTGGGAGTGGAGGGGAGATTCCCTCATGGTGGTAGAAAGGAAGGGAAGGGACAGGGAAGAGAGAGGAGGACGCCATTGTTTTGGGGGAAGGCGAGGATGTGTGGCTCAGGGACACCTCCGACCTGAACCGCTGTCCCTAAGAGAATGAGGGGTCAGGGAAGAGAGGAAAAATGGAAGTGCCCCTAAAAGGGAAGAACTTCTCCCGAAACTTCTTCCCTTTGGATTGCAAAGTGGATTTGGGATTGGGGCTTTATTTTATTTTATTTTTTATTTTTTGAGACAGAGTCTTGCTCTGTCGCCCAGGCTGGAGTGCAGTGGCGGGATTCCGGCTCACTGCGGCCTCCGCCTCCTGAGTAGCTGGGATTGCAGGCACCCCCCACCACGCCCGGCTAATTTTTGTATTTTTAGTAGAGACGGGGTTTCTCCATGTTGGCCATGCTGGTCTCCAACTCCTGACCTCAGGTAATCCGCCCGCCTCTTCTTTATTGTTAAAAGTTTATCAGGCATTGAGCTTCTGCACAAACATATAAAGGAAGCAGGCAAGGGAGGGAAGTGGAAAGAAGGAGGAGGAGGGAGAGGGGAGAGAGGAGAAGGGAGAGGGAGGAGGGAGGGAGAAAGAGGGAAAGGAAGGGAAGGAGAAGGGAGAGAGAGGAGGGAGGGAGAAAGAGGGAAAGGAAGGGAAGGAGAAGGGGGGAGGAAGGAAGGAGGAAAGGAGAAAGGAGAGGGAGGGAGGGAGGAGGAAAGGAGAAAGGAGAGGGAGGGAGGGAGGAGGAAAGGAGAAAGGAGAGGGAGGGAGGAGGAAAGGAGAGGGAGGGGAGAGGGAGGGGAGAGGGAGGGGAGAGGGAGGGAGGAAGAAGAGGAGGGGGAGGAAGGAAGGAGGAGGGGAAGTAAGGGAGGGAGGGGGAGGGAGGGAAGGAGGATGAAGGGAGGAGGAGGAAGGATGATGGAGAGGGAGGAAGGAAGGACAGATAGGAGGAAGGAGGGGGAGGGAGAGGGAAGGAAGAGGAGGGAGGAAGTAGAAAGGGAGGGAAGGAGGGGGAGGAAGGGATAGAGGGACAAAGGGAGACAGGAAAGAGGGAAGAAAGGAGAGGGAGGGAAGAGGCAGGAGAAAAGGAGAGGGAGAAAAAGGGAGGGGGAGGAGGGAGGGATAAGGGAGGAAGGAAAGTAGAAGGGGGAGGGAGGGGAGGAGGGCGAGGGAGGGAAGAAGGGGAGGGAGGAGAGGGAAGAAGGGGAGGGAGGAGAGGGATGAAGGGGAGGGAGGAGAGGGATGAAGGGAGGGAGGAGGGAGAGGAAGAAGGAAGGAAGGAAAGGAGGGGGAGGAATAGAGGGACAAAGGGAGATAGCAAGGAGGGAAGAAGGAAGAGAGGGAGGGAAGAGGGGGAAAAGGGGAAGGAGGGGAGGGAGGAGGGCAAGGAAGGAAGAGGAGGGAGGGGAGGAGGAGAGGAATGAGGGGGAGGAAAGGATAGAGGGACAAAGATTCAGGATGGAGGGAAGAGGGAGGAAGGAGAAAAGGAGAGAGGGAAGGAGAAAGGGAAGAAGAAAGGAAGGAAACTGCTATTAGTTAATTGAGGCGTAAAAATAAGCAGGAGTCAACATACTGTTATTAATGCAAAAAGAAGTCAGACTCTGGCTTAAGAAGGATTTGAAATACACTCTTTACCGTTTTGTTGAGGCTCAGAGAGTCTGGGTACCTAAAGGGTTTACTTTTCTTGGACCGAGGATTTGAGGAACAATATAAAGAAGAGACTGGATGATTTGGAGGAAATTTGGGAACACATTCTGAATGGTGTGTGGGGGGAGAGAACTACTTTTTATTAAGAAAAAAATTGGCAAGGCTGGGCACAGTGGTTCATGCCTGTAATCCCAGCAGGGAGACTGAGGCCAGTGGATCACCTGAGGTCAGGAGTTCAAGACCAGCCTGGCCAACATGGTGAAACCTCATCTCTACTAAAAACGCAAAAAATTAGCCAGGTGTGGTGGCGGGCACCTGTAATCCCAGCTACTCGGGAGGCTCAGGCAGGAGAATCACTTGAATCTGAGAGGTGGACTTTGCAGCGAGCCAAGATCATGCCATTGCATTCCAGCCTGGAAAATAAGAGCTAAACTCTGTCTCAAAAAAAAAAAAAAAAAGAAAAAGAAATTGACAAAACTGACAAATTAGTTCACTAGATCAATTCTCAAACTTCTTGGTCTGAGAACCTGTTGCATCTTAAAATTTATGGAGGACTCCAAAGAGCTTTTATATGGTTTGTAGCTATTAACATATTAGAAATTGAGAAATATTTGAAGTTTGATTAGAAATAACAATAATAAATATGTTAACCTAAATGGTTTTTGTTTTTGTTTTTTTTTTTGAGGCGGAGTTTCACTCTTGTTACCCAGGCTGGAGTGCAATGGCTCGATCTCGGCTCACCGCAACCTCTGCCTCCTGGGTTCAGGCAATTCTCCTGCCTCAACCTCCTGAGTAGCTGGGATTACAGGCATGCGCCACCATGCCCAGCTGATTTTTTGTATTTTTAGTAGAGACGGGGTTTCACCATGTTGACCAGGATGGTCTCGATCTCTTGACCTCGTGATCCACCCGCCTCGGCCTCACAGGCGTGAGCCACCGCGTCCGGCCCGATTTTTAATGTTTTAAGTGAAATAAAACTATTTTTTGAGATCCTCATTCACTTTCCCTTGGTTCCCTTTATTATTTCTAAGTTCTTTTTCCCTCATTTACCCTCCTTTCATATGTTGAGTGATGGGAATATGGTTTCTGGAACTATCCTGATTCTTTTATGTTCTTATTTAAAGACTTTGCTACTCTTGTTAAAGCCTTCCCCCTCAACCCCACACCCTGCCCTTCTTCATCTAAGATAAGAAAAGAGAAATTAAAACCTCAAATATTATTCCTGGCTCTACAGCCCCTAGTCATTTAGTAGCTGTACAGAAGAAAGTTAGTGGGATTTATATATTTATTAACTATCTATATTTTTCTTTTTCTCTCTCTGAACCAGCTTTCAGTATTTGTAAAGGAATGTAATTCACCTGAAACAGGAGGGACAACCTGAGTTATCAGAAAGTGATTTCCTGGCCTTCCCTTCTTTATTGATCAGGTTAGAGCTTTTGTTTAAAAGCAGTGTTCTTCAGCATATTGACAGATTATACATATTAAACGATATTATACATCACTGTTTATAGGTTTATTAAATCTTATTAACTCAACAGTAAACCACAATTCTATCTAGTTGGTTGGGGCTCCAGAAACATACTTTGGCCTAGGAAGATCTTTATAGGTTTAGATAAGGATTTGAACCTAAATACTGGAAAAGTTTACATTTTTACATTGGTCAGAATACTCTTTTATTTAAAAAATTTAGGCCGGGTGTAGTGGCTCATGCCTGTAATCCCAGTACTTCAGGAGGCTGAGGTGGGCTGATCGTGAGGTCAGGAGATTGAGACCATTCTGACCAACATGGTGAAACCTGTCCCTACTAAAAATACAAAAATATAGGCACGTGCCTGTAATTCCAGCTGCTTGGGAGGCTGAGGCAGAGGAATCACTTAAACTCGAGAGGTGGAGGTTTCAGTGAACCAAGATCTTGCCACTGTACTCCAGCCTGGCAACAGAGCAAGACTCCATCTTAAAAAAAAAAAAAAAAAAAAATTATTTTTTGAAATGGCAACATTTGTATGTTTTAAAATGCCAAAGATACACAAGGGAGTACACCAAAAGCTTCCTTTCACTCTCATCTGCCCAGTTCTCCCCAGAAGCATTTTGATCTGTTTTTTCTCTTCTAGAGAGAGTTTATGATTAACAATTGTATTAGACACATGTTCTTGAAAACTAAATATTGTCATCTGAAACACAATAATTTTCACTCTGCTTTTCTCACTTAGCATAGCTCTTGTAATTTAGACAGTGACTTCTTGTGATCTTTTTTGGAATTTTAAAGGCTGGGAGAAGATAAATTTGTCATTTTTGGTCAAATTAATATTCCTTTTACAGCTTAATTTTATCCAGGCTTTTTTTTTTTTTTTTTTTTTTTTTTGGTGGAGTTTTGCTCTTGTTGCCCACCCTAGACTGCAATGGAGTGATCTTGGCTCCCTGCTACCTCCGCCTCCCGGATTCAAGTGATTCTCCTGCCTCACCCTCCCGAGTACCTGGGATTACAGGCACTTGTCACCATGCTTGGCTTTTTGTATTTTTAGTAGAGATGGGGTTTCACTATGTTGGTCAGGCTGCTCTCAAACTCCTGATCTCACCTGCTTTGACCTCCCAAAGTGCTGGTATTACAGGTGTGAGCCATTGTGCCTGGCCAATTTTATCTAGTCTTTACCATCTAATTAGGATTATAATAAAGGAGATTAATTTCTTGAGTGTTTCTCCCCAAAATTCCAACTTGCCTTTTTTTCTGGAGCAAGTATGTTTGGGGATTGGTGATGATGAGTTAAAGTGGAAATAGTGAGAAAATGTGCTCCTTAATAAAAAGGAAACATAGTTGCTTCAGAACAGCACATCTGAATTATTCACATTTATGGAAGCAAGAAAAGGAAGAGAAAAATGCTAAAGGATAATTTAAAAATATTTCACATTTAACTATGCTGTGGCCACACTGTCAAAACCTCAGTACCCTTTAAGTTTATCTTATGGACTAGAGAGAGGAACCCTATACTTTGAAGAAGCTTGGCCATTTAAGGTTTTAAAATTTCCTGATCCTTAAAAGGGAAGTGTATATGAACCAAATGATCATTTTATGCTGCTTTCTGATCTCTTTATAGTGGGAGATCACAGATTTAGAACAATGAGTTTCGGTTGCAGGGCTTTCAAACTGCTCAAAACCAACAGCCAGAAACAAGATCACTGAGTAGAATAGGTATGTTATTAGTAGAATTGAAAGGCAAAAGTCCTAGGTTCATCTAAGCTTAACTATATTAACACTGAGTGTTTGGGCAAATCACTTAACCTTTTTTTCTTTTTCTTTTTTTTTTTTGAAATGGAGTCTTGCCCTGTAGCCCAGGCTGGAGTGCAGTGGTACGATTTCGGTTCACTGCAACCTCTGCCTCCTGGGTCCCAGTTCAAGCAATTCTCTTTCTTCAGCCTCCCAAGTAGCTGAGATTACAGGCACGAGCCACCATGCCCAGCTAATTTTTTTTTTTTTTTTTTTTTTTTTTTTTGGATACAGAGTCTTGCTTTGTCACCAGGTGCCAGGCTGGAGTGCAGTGTTGCAATCTTGGCTCACTGCAACCTCCACCTCCCGGATTCAAGCAATTCTCCTGCCTCAGCCTCCCGAGTAGCTGGGACTACAGGTGCGAGCCACCATGCCCAGCTAATTTTTGTATTTTAGTGGAGACAGGGCTTCACTGTGTTGGCCAGGATGATCTCGAACTCTGGACTTCGTGATCCACCCAACTTGGCCACCGCGCCTGGCAATGTTTGTATTTTTTAGTAGAGACAGGGTTTCACCATGTTGATCAGTCTTGTCTTGAACTCCTGACCCCCAAAGTGCTGGAATTATAGGTGTGAGCCACTGCGCCTGGCCCACTTAACCTCTCTTAGCATATTTTTTTTCCATCTGTAGAAAGGGGAGATGGGGCTTTATTATCCCTAAAGGTCTTCCCAGAGCTATAATGCTTTTTATAATGGTTATAAAAGTAAGAATGGCGTATATCACTTAAGCCTAAGAAAACTGGGTAGAAGGGCTATAAGAAGTTAAGGTTAACATAAAATCAGAGACAGTTTTCTGAAAGCTGAGTGGGCACAGAATACTATGCAGCTGTGTTAAAGAACAAGATCATGTCTTTTGCAGCAACATAGATGGAGCTGGAGGCTGTTCTCCTAAGTGAATTAACGTAGGAATAGAAAACCAAATACTGCCTATTCTCACTTATAAGTGGGAGCTCAACATTGCATACACATGGACACAAAGAAGGGAACAATAGACACTGGGGCCTACTTAAGGGTGGAGGGTGAGGACTGAAAAACTATCTATTGGATACAAGGCTCATTACTTGTGAGACAAAATTATCTCTGCCCTAAATCCCATGACATGCAATTTACCTATGTAACAGAACTGCACATATACCCCTTGAATGTAAAATAAAGGTTGGAAAGAAAAAATTTTTTTAAAAGCTGTGTGGAAATAGTAGTGGGAAAGTATAAATTAGAAAATAAAAATATTGGATTGTCCCCAGGGTGAGCCTTGGCACACTATTGGGTCACAAATAGCTTATAGCTGTGTAGATACTAATTTCTTCTGCCTGTTTCTTTTACCCCCAGAGTACCTGGAAATGTCATTTTCTATGTGCTTCAGTATACGCTTTTAATGTATGTTTTCTGTGTGTTCTGTGATAGCAAAATGGTAGTGAAGTACTAAATTAGACTGTTAGGATGTCACGTAGCCAGCCGTTAGCACAAACTTTGAAATCAGACAGGTTCTAATCCTGATTTTACTACTTATCAATGACTTAATATCTTTAATTTTCTTTAAGCCTGAATTTCTCCCAAGTGTAAAATGTTATCCACATCATAGATCTGTTGTGAGAATTAAATGGAATGCTACATAAAGGGTAAAGAATATCGTCAGTGCTCAATAAGAGTTAGCCGTTACCATTAGTCACAGTGTCAGTAGTAATCAAGAAACATATTGATGTCGTGTGGAACATCTGTGAGTAGATTGCTGAAGATGAACTATGAATATCAAAGAAGGCACTAATTTAATTTTTCATTATCAGATTCTAAGGGAGAGTAAGGAAGAAGATATTAAATTCTCTGGGGACCTGTGCTGGTTACCAAATATTTCTGAGCTATGACTGGAGATTGGTAGAATCCAGTACATTGGAAAATTGATTGGACTGAGGATCTAAGAAAGGGAAAATAAATATCATAATGATGTTAAAAGTGGGGCTTCTCTAGGCACAGAGACCTCTGAGTCAGGTCAGAGAATTACCAAATTATGTGTGTGTTTTAAGTGTTTAGGAGAGGTTTATGAAATGAGGCTATCCCTCTGAAGAAAACTCTCTTTAACTGCCAGGATTATTCATACCCTATAATCACTGCTCTACTACTACCTATGCTTCTGGTGCTACCACTACCACTTCTGCTGCCTGCCTTATGTTGGACATGGTTCTAGGCACATAAAACACTAAGGATTGCTGCTAATATTTATTTGTTTATCTATTTTTAATTTTTGAGTCAGGGTCTCTGTCACCCAGGCTGAGATGTAGGGGCATGATTTTGGCTCACTGCAGCCTCTGACTCCTGGGTTCATGTGATCCTCCCACTTTAGCCTCCCGAGTAGCTGGGATTACAGGTGTGTGCCACCACACTGGCTAATTTGTTTTATTTTTTGTAGAAACGGGATATCGCTGTATTGCCCTGGCTGGTCTTAAACTCCTAGGCTCAGGTGATCTGCCTGCCACAGCATCCCAAAGTGCCAGGATTACAGGTGTGAGCTACCATACCCACTCTTGATTGTTGATAATCTTTAAAACAGTAGCTCTCATTATTCCTTGGCATGTAATTTGTACCACAGAGGCATGTAATTGGCACCACAGAGGAGGTCAAGGATGCAGAAGCATAGTTCATGGGTCTAAAACAGGTTTTGACCTCAAGACGGAGAGAAGGGAGTTTAAAATCTTGTTTAATTAGAGTCTTAGCGGTTAATTTCTTTTTTCTAACAGAGGTACACAAAGTATAGTTTCTAAGCTGAATGATGACAACATTGCAGAATAAAGAAGGTGAGTCAAGAGTGAGGGACCTTCACTTTCTACATTTCTCTCATTTTTCTCCTTTTGGACATCCTTTCCACCAAAGGATGGTTCAGGTCCCATTATATTCTGTGCCCACTCTGGTGAAATTACTACTCTGCTAGATGCTTTGAATGAAAGAAATATGACTTAAAAACAGTCCTGCTCGAGGAATGTATGAATTCATAGGGAGAGAAAAGGCATCTAAATACCTATTATAAAGTTGAATGTGGTAAATGCCACCAGCTATGTGCAGAGTATTAAGGAAGCTCAGAAGAAAGATATACCTGGGAGGATCATTATAATTTTTATTGAGGAGATGGCATAAGAGCTGTGAATAATTTGTAGATTTTGACTAGTTTTTAAAAAATTGTTCTTAATTTTCCATAAAATTTTATCTAAAGTAAAAATGAGCAAATTATACAGTTTCACATTTGGATAATTCAGCTTCCTGCATGTTTATATTTATCACCTTTGACTTAGTAGTTCCCAAACCTGGAAGCATATCAGAATCAACTAGCCTTGTAAAGTTCCAGATTGCTAGGCCTCTCATGTCAAACTACCTCATCAGCATCTCAGGGCTGGGGAGTGGAGTAGGCAGCAAGAAACCCAGGAATCTGAATTTGATAAAAGCTCTCTCCATATAATTCTGTTATGGCCAGTCAAAGGGTAATGTTTGGCAATCTCTGTTAGATTGTATGTTTCACAAATTCCACTTGATCACATTTCTTTCAGAATGTGGAAAGGGACCAAAGAGAATCTTTGCCCCACCTGCACAAAAATCTTACAACCTGATACCTTTTAGCCCTAACTCACCCAAAAAGGAGACCCTGGGGATCAGTTCCCCAGAGACAGAGGCCAGGATAAGCCTGCCAAAGGCCAGGTTAAAGAAGGAGGAAAAAGCAACCACAAACAATGCTTCCAGCAGGGGCCAGGAAAAAAAAAGAAAGGCACAAAACAACAAGCAAGCAGAGAAGAAAGAAAAGGTATCAGTCACATTGGTGGGCTCTGGTAGGACATTTCCTCATCCCTGCCCCTGGCTCAGGCTAAATAAGCAGTCTTTTCACGTTGGGAAAATATACCCTGTAGTTTCAGGTTACTTGTATTCCTTTTGGAGGGCTTCTATTTTTTTTTTTTTTTCCTCAGAGAGGTCAAAAATGTTTTGATGAAAGAATTTAGCAGGAAATAATGAGATGAGGTGGGTTAGAGATGGGAGTAGAAGTGGAAAGAGATGTTACACACTTTTCTCTTTCCTTTGACTCATTTACTCCCAGGAGATCTGGGATAGAGTACATGGCCTCTTTAGGTATGCTGACTGCATGCTTTCAGTCTTCCAAACTTTACTGCCTCATCTAAAGGAGGCTTCCCTGACTGTTCAGAGGGGAAAACCATGGACAGATTAAGTGGTTTTCCTCCCCTACCCTTGTCTCTGCAGGAAAAGTCAAGTCTTACCAATGCAGAATTTGAGGAGATTGTCCAGATTGTGCTGCAGAAGTCCCTTCAGGAGCGCTTGGGTATGGCATGTAGTAAGAGAAAAAGGGTTTTAGTTAGGCAGAGTGACTGTTAGACCTGAGAAGGTAGAGTTAAATCTTACAGCTTCTCTCTTTCTCTCCCATCTTCTAAGTAAGGTAATATTAGATGAGACTTCAACATATTTTAAAAATACTTCATCTTCTATCAACAGGACTATAAACCACCTTAGATAAAGGGTACATATATTTTAGAAAAAGTAGATTACATTGACTTCAGAATTTAAATATAGTCTTACCAAACTTTTCAAGCCATTATGGGGTTTTGTTGTTGTTTCTTTTGTTTACTTATTTTTTTTGAGACGGATTCATGTTCTGTCACCTACGCTGGAGGGCAGTGGCGTGATCTTGGCTCACTGCAACCTCCGCCTTCTGGGTTCAAGAAATCCTCCTGCCTCAGCCTCTTGAGTAGCTGGGACTACAGGTGCATGCTGCCATGCCTGGCAAATTTTTTGTATTTTAGTAGAGATGGGGTTTCACCATATTGCCCAGTCTGGTCTCAAACTCCTGAGCTCTGGCAGTTCACCCACTTGGCCTCCCAAAGTGCTGGGATTACAGGCGTGTGCCACCGTGCCCGGCCTATAATTTTTTTGTGTACCCAAAATTATTACCTGACCATCCTGGAATGAGGCACATCAATCTGGAAAGGCTTACAGAAAGATATATATATTTGTAGTTTTTCCTGAACATTTAAATAGCTAAAGTTCTGTGATATGACTGGAGGTCAAAGGTAGGCTCTTTCAGACTGCAGGGAGAAGACACTTGAATGAAAATGTTAGGGAATAATAGAATGATTGTTTTATTGCTTCTCTGCTTATAGTATTTTGTTTTGGGAGGGACGGGATCTGGCCTTGATTTTGCAGAGACTTCTTGTGCCCAGCCCATAGTATCTACTCAGTCAGACAAGGAGCCAGGAATTACTGCTTCTGCTACTGATACTGACAATGCTGATGGGTAAGTTTATCTCAGTGAGGCAAGGTGAACACAGAATGGACTACACATTGGTAAATCATGGTCAGTCAGTCTGTCTATCTGTTTGTCTGTCTTTCTGGTCATTTATCATATTTCTATAGATTTCTCTCAGCTCAGGAAAGATGCCTGTTTGATTTGGGAAAAATAGGCAAGTAGATTTATGAAATGACCTCAGAGGCCTTACAGAGCCTAGGATTTGTCTGTCTTTTACTTTTGGGTTTTTTCAAAAGAAGAATTCTGCAGTTGCTTTCTTTTTACCTTTCATTAAAATAAAATCTCATTTTCAGAGAGGAGGTACCACATACTCAAGAGATTTCAGTGTCTTGGGAAGGTGAAGCTGTCCCTGAGATAAGGACGTCTAAGCTAGGCCAACCAGATCCTGTACCCTCTGAGAAGATATCCAGTAGACTCTCTTTAAGCAAAAGAAAGAAGGAAGCTGGTAAGTACAGCTTTGAAGCCTGGCTCAAGCACTTGCTCTGGGAAATTAGGTAATGGGACCATAGGCAGGCTGAGAATTTTCAGCCCAAGTCTTGAAACTGTTAGGCTGTGATTCTTCTTCCTTCTTTCACTGACATTTACTATCCACAAAGATTGCCTTCTTCATCTCCCCACCCCATGTTTTCTTTTTTCTTCCCAGGAGATGAGAAGGTGGAGAAAACTCAAAGTGGACATGAGCTCAGACAGAAAGACCAACTAGAGAAAACAGTTCAGGATCATTCCCAGATCAGGGACCAGCAAAAAGGAGAGATAAGTGGTTTTGGTGAGTTCAGCTCGTTTGGAAAACCTACTTGGCCTGAAAGCTTGAGATAGAGCAGAGAGGCAGGGTTAGGATGTTAGAGAAAACTCTGCAAAGAATATAATTTTTTTTTTTGAGATGGAGTCTTGCTCTGTCACCAGGCTGGAGTGCAGTGGCACAATCTCAGCTCACTGCAACTTCCGTCTCCCAGGTTCAAGCGATTCCCCTGCCTCAGCCTCCCGAGTAGCTGGGAATACATGCGCATGCCACCACGCCTGGCTAATTTTTTTGTATTTTAGTAGAGATGGGGTTTCACCATGGCCAGGATGTTCTTGATCTCCTGACTTTGTGATCTACCTGCCTCAGCGTCCCAAAGTGCTGGGATCACAGGTGTGAACCACTGCACCTAGCCCCAAATATAATATATCCCTCACAGCTGTTTGTTTTAAAATATGCTGCTAAAAGAATGATTTCATTCATTCAGTCATTTATTCACATAATCCATAGTTGTTGGGTCCCTACTATGTACAAAGCATTTCAGATGTATCCCAGGAAGAAAACGAAGACATGGTCAGAAAAGTAATAGAAAAATCAGGAATGGTATCACAGATGCCAGGGGAGGAGAGATGCCAGGTAGTCCAGGTCAATAAACCATTCCTGTTGTTATAATAAAGAAAGAAAGAAAGGGATGCTCAGCCATTCAAATGCCATCATAAAGAAGTCAAAGAGGATAAACATAAGCTCAAGGATATCACAGAGGAGACTGTTAGAGGTTTGGTTATTACCGAAAGGGTTGGTAAACATGAATGGTAGCTTATAGCTGGTTGAGGAATAAACACTTTTTCAATTAGTTTAAGAGGGAGAAAATAGTAGATTAAAAAGAATGGGTGCAGAGTTGAGGGAGGCCTTTTTATTTTATAACTTTAAAAGAGAGAGACTTGAGCATACTTACATGCTGAGGGAAAATTATAGAGAGGGCGAGATTGAAGAGATGGGAGTGGAAAGAGATTCAGAGGATTTATTCATCATCTTTAGCCTTCAAGATTAGATCGAGGCATGGTAAGGATAGATATGAACTCATTTATTCTTTTAACAACAGTTACTAGTGTCTTATATTTTGTGCCGAGTGTTGCACCAGAGGCCAAAATACAGTGAGGAACAAAACTGACAACACTTCCTTCAGAGAATTTATAGGTTTAATGTATTAGATAATAAATATATTACATGAAATAACCAAGGTGATAATGGGAAATTTTATGACAAGAAATAAAATAGATCATAGAATATACTAGTATGTTCAAAAATTCAAAAATACCAAGGCAGGAGGATCACTTGAGGCCAGGAGTTTGAGGCCAGCTTGGGCAACACAGTGAGACCCTCATTGATACAAGAAAAAAAAAAATAACCAGGCTTATGCAGGCATCAAACAAGATAGTCCAGGTCAATAAACCGTTCCTCTTGTCATAATAACATGGTATCATAAGGCACTGAGGTATAAGTCTAATTTGAACAACCGGGTGGTCTGGAGTTCAGACTACCCTAAGGGAGTTTCTTTCTAGGTAGAGTCAAAAAGGAAACTAAAAGGTTTTTCTTTTGGTTTTCTGTGACTATATAAATTCAAATGTGCTTGTTGAGAACTTTTGGGATACTGACCTGATGTCTGGTTAGCTCAAATAAATTGGTGTCATTAGATTTGTGTTGCTCTGTTTCTTGTACCTCTTAGAATTACTGCAAGGGGTTGGGCACAGTGGCTCTCGCCTGTAATCCTAGCACTTTGGGAGGCTGAGGCAGGAAGCTTGCTTGAGCCCAGGATTCACGTTTAGCCTGAGTAACATAGTGAGACCCCCGTCTCTATAAAAAAGAAAAGAAAAGTGAATTTATATTTTAAAAAATTGAAAAAAAAAATTACTGCATGGACTAGATCTTAGGCAGGCAGATGGGGTTTCACCCTCTAGGTGGTGCTTGTGAGTTGAATTGTGATTGTGGATTTATCAGCCTCCTGCTATAAATAAACCATTCTTTCTGTTATAGTTACCAAGGAGAGGTGAGTGCTTCTGTGGCAGGAAGGAGTATTTGAATACAATTTGCATGAAGTACAGGGAAGGAAAAGAGCAGAGTGTCATGAGACGAAGTAAGATTGGGCCAGTCAGGGAGTGCATTTCTAAGGAAACGGTATTTCATCTGGAACCTGAAGGCAGAATAGAAGTTATCCAAGTGAAGAAAAAGTTTTAGGTAGGGTAAAGTGTGGCATGTTCCAGATACTAAAAGAAAGCCAGTGTGATTGCAGAGTTCAGAGAGCAAAGGGAGGCAAGGTGGGAAAGTGGCCCTGGATGACTGGAAAGAGGGAGGCAATGGCTAGGTCAAAGACCGTGTACAGTGTGAACATGTCCTAAGTACAGTGGGAAGTCACTGGTGGGTTTTAACCAGGGAAGTGACATCTTCAAATTATTGTTTTAAAAGGAGCCTTTGGTGATTAATTGGAGATGGAGTATGAGAAGACAAGAGTAGACCAGTTAAGAAGTTAATAGTAGGATTAGGTATTTTGGTGGCTTCAATTAGGATGATGGCTGAGCACAGTGGTTTACACCTGTAATCCAAGCACTCTGGGAGGCAGAGGCAGGAAGATCACTTGAGCCCAGGAGTTTGAGGTTGCAGTGAGCTATGTTCATACCACATCACTACAGCCTGGGTAGTGGAGCAAGACCCTATCTCAAAAAAATAAATATTAAAAAAAGATAAAAATAAAATGGATTAGGATGATGAAAGTAGAGAAAGAGAAAAGTGGATGGTTTTAAGGTATGTTTTGGAGGTAAAATTGTTAGAAGTTGGTAATGAATCAGATATTGGAAGGCTGGAGGCAGGGAGGATATGTCAAGGATGATTGGTTTCTGGCTTGAATAGTTAAGTGAAAGAAAATGGGAAAGAGTAGAGGAAGAACAAATTTGTGGGATAAGATCAAGCATTCAGGTTTGGGTACATTTAGGCTTGAGATCCTTGTGAGACATCCAGATGAGATGTCAAGAACAAAATGGCTTAGAAATCTGGAGCCCAGAACAGAGGCTGTAAGTAAACAGCTGTGTGCTGTCAGGTATGAAAATAGATTTCAAAGCCATGGGAATGGGTGAGCTTGCCTCAGAAGAAAGTGTATTATGGGGAGAGAAGGCCCATGACTGGGCTTTGATACCCCTGACATTTAGAGATTGGAGAACAAGGAGAACCCAGCAAAGGAGACTCGGGGGAAGCTGCCCAAAAATGGTGGGGAGGGTGGCAGGGGAATGAGGCATCACAGAACCTAGGAGGCTAGTGTTTCAAGAATGAGTGGTCAAGTGAAATCCTCTTAACGTGTGTCTGTGACATCAGTCTTCATTATAATAGAGCCACATCTGGACATCAAACACAGTTTTCCAGAGCATATTACCTGTTCCTTTAGGTTACTTGAAACTTTTTTTAAAAAGTAAAGTGCTTCTGTTAACAATATCATTCCAAGCCATAAATTTCCAGTTCCATATCATTGTAGTCATTTTTTCCTACTCATTTTCTTATGAATACTCATTGCTTTAACAGCTAATAATTTGTATTATTGATCTATATTAATTTATATGATTCCTGTCCTCTCTTCTTACTTTTTTTTTCTAGTCTTGCTAGGCCATCTCAGTAAACATCCAAAATTATCATTGGCAACTGTCACTTAAGACTAACACATTATTCCCAACCAGTACTTTGTTCTTCAAGATAAGGTAATTGAGGCTGGGTGTGGTGGCTCACCCCTGTAATCCCAGCACTTTGGCAGGCTGAGGAGGGTGGATTGCTTGAGCCCAGGAGTTCAAAACCAGTCTTGGCAGCATGGCGAAACCCCACCTCTATCAATAAATACAAAAACTTCATGGGGTGTGGTGGTGCATGCCTGTAGTCCCAGCTACTTGGGAGGCTGAAGTGGGAGGATCACTTGAACCTGGGAAGTGGAGATTTCCGTGACTCAAGATTGTGCCACTGCACTTCAGCTTGGGCAACAGAGAGAAACTGTGTCTCAAAAAAAAAAAAAAAAAAGTAGTTGTGAAAGTTCTCTCTTATATGTGATATTTTGAAAGGAACCATATGCAAATCAGCTTTTCTGAGGGATGATTTTGGAAGGATAGGATTAGGGGCCATCCCTTATGATCAGGTATTTAAGGTAAAATTTGGCAGTGGGAGAGAGTGAACTACTAGAGAAATATATTGGTTGATAATGTTAAATAGAGAATATATAGTGATACCTATGTGTCTGTTATGTGATTTTTCTCTCTTAACTCAATTGCTTGAGTGTAGGCTCAGAAAAGGTGGAGAGAGGATTCATACCAGTTGGTGTTTTGCTATCTGGGTGCGAGGAAGGACTGTGGGAAAGGGAGCTGAAGGTGTCTACAAGAGAATCCAAGTACGTGTCAAGTAATCAAACCTGGGTGGAACAGAGGGAAGAATGGAAATTGCTTCCAGATGGAAAGGATGGTAGGGGCAGTCAGTTGGAGAGCTAGATAAAATGAAAGTTGCTATAGGAGTCTTTGAGCAAGTGAGGTGGAAGGATGGGGCATTTTTGTAGTGAGGATGTTTGGATAAGTGGCTCAGAGGGTGTGCAGTTCTGGCAGATGACTGGGTGGGGCACGCAGGAGGTGGAGAGGAGAAGACTGAATCAGATGCCAGCATCTCTACAAGGGAGATGAGAGGCAGGTATAGTCCAATGGCATAGACCTCAAGGGAGGAGGGGTTTTTATAAGAGTTGGGGAGTAGTAGCAATGGGAATAATGATAATGCTGGCCCGGCTTTCAGTCTCGAGAGACATGGGGAGTGTGAGAGGAACAGACTCCACTTACAGGGCTGCAGGTGGGGGTGGTTTGGGTGGGGCAGCGTCGTTAGTGGGTCTCCAGGCTTCAAAAAGGAGATAGAAGTTCAGAGATGAGGTTGAGGATATGTGAACTTTTTCGTTGCTCAAGTCAGTGGAGTTTCCAAGACCACAATGGAAGAGTTTCAGTGGGAGAGAAGAGAGGCTGAGGGACATGAGTCAGCTTAGGAGAGGTGGAGGTTTGGAGAGTAATGGATAAAAGGAAGGCTTGGCCTTTGAGCAGGGCCCAAAGTTAATAGATGATGGAGAAGTGATAGGCTTAATCTGTGTCTTTTGGAGAAGAGTGAACTCAGACACTGTTGGTCCTAAAGGTTGCAACTTGGTGATTTGGCGACAGGTAAATCAGTTGAGATTTGGATAAGAACTCTGGATGTTGTGCACAAAAGAGATGCTGGGTAGTCCTTCAGAAGAACTCAGTAGTGTTATGCCAGCAGAGAACAAGGCACTAACTATCTGGAAAGATGCCAGGCAGCCTTCTAATTTAAGAACTGTCAATACAAGAAACATTCTTTTCAGCCTTGCGGTAAGGAGACACAGTAGCCTAGTACAGGAAAAAGATTAAGACATGAGACTTGAGTTCTAAGTTCAGCTCTATCACCATGTTAGCTGATCCTTAGCAAGCCAGTTACCTTTTTGAGCCTTGGTTTCCCACTTACAAGTCAGGGATCAGGCTGGTTGATCTCTTATGTCGCTCTATATGTGATTCTGGGAGTTGGGAGGGTTATGCTGATTTTAGTTGAATTAAAAAAGGAAGAGCATATTTTTAAGTCTCTTATTTCATTTTTCCCTTCTCACAGATCAATGTCTGGTCTGGGTCCAGTGTTCCTTCCCAAACTGTGGGAAATGGAGGCGGCTGTGTGGGAACGTTGACCCCTCAGTTCTCCCAGATAATTGGTCCTGTGACCAGAACACAGGTAGAAAAGACTGGAAATGTTTTCGTTCAGGTTTTATTGTTCCTCCTTTTCTTTCTCTGAACTTATCATTTAGATTGAATACTGCATAAATACACTTAACACCCAGGGGGTCTTTGTAGTGCTTGGGAGAGAGGAAGGAGCTGCCTGTCATATGGAGATGAATTTGGGCAGAAAAGTCTGGAGGAAGATGCCCTGCAAAGTGATCTTGGGAGGGGCCTGGAAGCTAAATGTATGAGCATTGGTCTGTCCCTGTCAATCCTGATTACATTGGTATTGGGTTGGTGGATAGGGAGGGATATAGGATTATATGGGGGAAAACAGATGAGAGAGATCTGGTATGCTTAGAATTCTAGGACATTTGAAACTAGTTGGAAGAGATGATGATCTAGTCCAGCCCAATTATTTTACAGATGAGAAAACAGAGTCTTAGAGAAATTATCTCATGGTGCTCCATAGATGGGAGCATAGTCAGACACACAGGAGTGTGAGCAGGAGCGTGGAATTTCTTTTTACAGTATAGAGTATGAAGAGGCAGCACTCCTACTTCCACTGGTTCCAGCTGCATTTTCTCCATGGGTCTTTATTCTTCCTCCGTGCTGATCCCCCAGGTGCCCTTTTGGTCCCACCTGCTGCATATATCAATTTCCTTCTTGTCCTCATCCAGCTCTTTCTCCCAATGAGTGTCTTCCTGTTCCTTTATTCCTTCTGTCTTTTGGCAGACATGGAGTATAATCGCTGTGATATTCCTGAGGAGACCTGGACGGGGCTTGAGAGTGATGTGGCCTATGCCTCCTACGTCCCAGGATCCATCATTTGGGCCAAGCAATACGGTTACCCCTGGTATGGCACTATGACATAGAGCAACCCTCACAAACTTGGGAGAGGTAGATTCAAGCAGGGAGGGAAGGAAATGGAAACATCTGTAATTGAAATGGTTCTGGCCTTAGAGCATGGGGTGAGAGAAAAGATAAAGTACCAAGCCTGGAGGCTTTGAAAGAGAGTGTTTTCTGGAGGTTTCAGCATAGAGGTAATAGCTCCCTGTAAAAAGGGTCTGATAGTGCTACCCCAACTGGTAGAAAGAAGAGGGTGGAGGCCGGGCGCGGTGGCTCAAGCCTGTAATCCCAGCACTTTGGGAGGCCGAGGCGGGTGGATCACGAGGTCAAGAGATCGAGACCATCCTGGTCAACATGGTGAAACCCCGTCTCTACTAAAAATACAAAAACATTAGCTGGGCATGGTGGCGTGTGCCTGTAATCCCAGCTACTCAGGAGGCTGAGGCAGGAGAATTGTCTGAACCCAGGAGGCGGAGGTTGCGGTGAGCCGAGATCGCACCATTGCACTCCAGCCTGGGTAACAAGAGTGAAACTCTGTCTCAAAAAAAAAAAAAAAAAAAGAAGAGGGTGGATCTGAGGCATTTAAAAATACTGAGAATGGCCGGGCATGGTGGCTCATGCCTATAATCTCAGCACTTTAGGAGGCCAAAGTGGGCAGATCACCTGAGCCTAGGAGTTTGAGACCAGCCTGGCCAACATGCTGAAATCCTGTCTCTATTAAAAACAAAAATTAGCCAGGTGTGGTGGCACACGCCTGTAGTCCCAGCTACTCAGGATGCTGAGGCAGGAGAATCACTTGAACCCAGGAGGCAGAGGTTGCGGTGAGCCAAGATTGCACCACTGCACTCCAACCTGGGTGACAGAGTGAGTCCCCATCTCAAAAATAAATAAATATAATTTTTTTTTTTTTTTTTGAGATGGAGTTTTACTCTTGTTACCCAGGCTGGAGTGCAATGGCGCGATCTTGGCTCACCGCAACCTCCGCCTCCCGGGTTCAGGCAATTCTCCTGCCTCAGCCTCCTGAGTAGCTGGGATTACAGGCACGTGCCACCATGCCCAGCTAATTTTTTGTATTTTTAGTAGAGACGGGGTTTCACCATGTTGACCAGGATGGTCTCGCTCTCTTGACCTCGTGATCCACCCGCCTCGGCCTCCCAAAGTGCTGGGATTACAAGCTTGAGCCACCGCGCCCGGCCAAAAATAAAAATATTGAGATTGAGACATACAAAGTAAAGATAACAAGGACAAGTGGGACAGTTTCTTCTTTGGAGATGTCCCTAGTCAAAGATTTTGTTCTTAAGATTGTGGGATGGTTCAGAAGGATAAGATACCTTCACTAGGTATATTCTGCGCTCCTGTGTGCATCAGTGGAAGTCCTTCCTCATCTGAGTCATTCAGCAGTGACCACCAGAGGGGGCTGATGGGATGGGAATCTATTTTTTGGATTTTTTCTTTTTCTTTTCTTTTTTTTTTTTTTTTTTTTTTTTTTTGCAAAGCGTACTGCTGCTGGCTGAGTGAAGTGGCTCAAGCTTGTAATCACAGCACTTTGGGAGGTTGAGGTGGGAGGATTGGTTGAGCCCAGGAGTTTGAGATAAGTCCTGGCTGTATAGTGGAACCCCATCTCTGCAAAAAATAAACAGCTGGCTGTGGTGGCACACGTTCCTGTAGTCCCAGCTATTCAGGAGGCTGAGGTGGGAGGATCACTGGAGCCTGGGATATCGAAGCTGCAGTGAGGCATGGTTGCAGCACTGCACTCCAGCCTGGGCAACAGAGTGAGACCCTGTCTCAGAAAAAAAACAAAAACATACCACTCTTTTCTGTGCATGTACATTGATGAGATTGTGTTCTGTTCATCTAACCCCTTCTTTTCTGTACCCTACACCCAACTACCTTCTCTAGGTGGCCAGGCATGATAGAATCTGATCCTGACTTGGGGGAATATTTTCTTTTTACTTCCCATCTTGATTCTCTGCCGGTGAGTTTCCTGGTTCAGGGTTAGAGGACCCCAGGCCAAAGTAAAGAACAAATCCATCCTCACAGATGTACAGATTAGAGACATGGACATAGCCAGCAGACGCAAGTGAAAACACCTTACTAGGATGACAAACACAGAGATAAGTACTCACACATACAGTAGAAACAAACTTGTGTCTAATTAAATATTTATCCACTGTCAGGGGATTAGTGGTTTTGACAAATATGCTTTGGCTAGGATTCCTGAGGTTAGAATGGAAAAACAATTGGAATGAGGGTAGGGTAGATGAGTCAGGCTTCGAGGGAGCATGTGAGGCCCAGCACCTCCTCTGGGTGAATTCCCATTCTCCCTGTCTGTTCTGGCTAGAGGAGAAAAGCAGAGAGCAGGACAGGAGGCCATAACGGGACCATCTTTTATTTCAGTCTAAGTACCATGTGACATTTTTTGGAGAAACAGTTTCTCGTGCGTGGATCCCAGTCAACATGCTGAAGAACTTCCAGGAGCTGTCCCTGGAGCCATCAGGCATGGTGAGCACATCTTGGGATTCTGTTGTGATACAGAGAACTGGAAAATGAAATCTTCCTTTTATTAAACCTGATTTTCTCCCAGGTTAAGCCATGTTGGGGAAAAGTTCCATGTCTGACCAGGTGTGCCAATGGTGAGATAATTCATGAAGGACTCTTCTTGCTCCTAGGATTGCAGCAGGGCAATGATTTTTTTTCAGTCCCCTTCCCTGCCTGCAGACTGGGGCCATTCTGAAGATGAGGTTTTTCTGCAGTTTAGCCAAAATAGGTGTGGCAGAAATAAAGGCACAGATTAACTCAGGATTTCTCAGTCTCAGCACTATTGGTGTTTCAGATGAGATAATTTTTGGTTGTGGAGGGCTATCCTGTGCATCATGGGATGTTTAGCAGCATCCCTAGGCTCTAGAGGCATCTAACCAGCAGCAGCCCCCACCTCCACCCTCTGCCCCCTGCCCCGGTTGTAACAATCAAAAAATTACCTCCAGTAATTGCCAGGTGCCTTCTTAGGGGCACAGTCTACCCGGCTGAGAACCATTGGATTACCAAAATCCTGTTTCCTCCCTGTAGTCACTTTGGGTTTGACCAGCCTTGCAAATGAGCAGAGACCCAGTAGCTCACAGGCCTTAGAAAATCAAGCTGTGAGTATTAAATCAAACAGCTGGATCTAAAGAAACTTGTCAGAAACTTCAAAGTGAAATCACCTGAGTTCCTATAATCCTCTTTTCAAATTTCTACAGGATTCACTTTGGAGATGACACCAAAATGTTGGTTGAAAATATTGCTAGGGCCAGGTGTCGTGGCTCACACCTGTAATTCCAGCACTTTGGGAGGCCGAGGTGGGCAGATGGCCTGAGCTCAGTAGTTCGAGACCACCCTGGGCAATATAGTGAAACCCTATCTCTACTAAAATACAAAACATTTGCTGGGCATGGTGGTGTGTGCCTGTAGTCCCAGTGGGAGGCTGAGACACAAGAAATGCTTGTATCAGGGAGGTGGAGGTTGCAGTGAGCTGAGATCGCATCATTGCACTCCAGCCTGGGTAACAAGAGTGAAACTCCGTCTCAAAAAAAAAAAAAAAAAAAAAGAATAGGAGTATCATATCAATACTAGGAACTGGAAATAAATGTTACAGTTGAAGATAATGTCAGATAGGTAGCAGTATGCTGGGGTCACTTCTCTAATGTTTATTAGTGACTTTAAGTCAGTGTTTATCATTGGCTGTAATCTTCTTCCATTTCAGAAAAAGCACAGAAACAAGGACTGCAGCCAGAAACTGGGGGTGGCCCTGATGATGGCTGAAGAGGCAAAACAGATCAGCATTCAGGTGGGAGAGTGTTCAGACCACACCCATTCCTTTCCCTACTCTTTTTTTTTTTTTTTTTTTTTT